TTAGAACAACGAATCGTTAGGAACAAATAAATTTTTTTGAATTCTATAATATAATATGACTGATACAAATATAAGTTTGATAAACTTGAGGTGATATTTAATTTAGGTACATATATACCTAATATTTTTTATTAATATTTTGTATACAAAATTCATGTGGTATATTGTTAGTAATAACAAAATCTATTTAACACAATCATGTTAAAAATTAAATAAAAAATCAACTAATTTTGAAACAATTGTTATAATACTTAGACCAAGGAATAAAAAAGAAATCATACTAGAATGACTCACAGGGGGTGGATTCAGCATGGGGCAGCTGTCCCCACTGGAAATTTGAAATTTTTTTGGGAATTATTTAAAATGTCAACTTTTTAAAAAAAAAAAATTAAAATTTGCCCCCACTAAAAATTTTCTAAAAATTTTAAGTTTGTTAGAATAACATTATTGTGATCTAATTTGAGAAGTTAAATTATTGTTATCATTCGATTATTAGTAGATCACAATATTTAACAAGATCCAGTACGTGCTAATCTAATGACAACAATTGATTAGATTTTAAAATTAAGTTTCTAAATTAAATACATAGAGTATTATTGTTAGTTTATATTTTAGATAAATGATATTCTTTCATAAAAAAAAATTAGTATTACACTTTTCTCATATGACTTAAATTAAAATTGTTACGATGTGATTTTTTTTATAAACATCACCAAATCACTATTACAACATAAATAATTACCTATTACATATTTTGAATAACACATCAATAATAAATGAGCAAACACCTTATAAGAAATCAATCTTGACCATTTAGCAAGGGTTGACTCATCCACCTATTAGTTAATAGAATTAAGAATAATCAATAATACTATGCTTGGTCAGTTATTGTTGCAATAAGTTTTAATGATTGGTAATCGATCATTCTCATTGACTTGATTTTCTTGGTCAATGTTTTATTTTTTTAACTTCTTTTTGTCTCTTCCTCTCAATTATTTTTGTTAATGTGAATTAAAATTACATCTTGATAGTTGAAATCATAATAAATTGGGGTTGAACTTAGAAATCATAATATTAAAAATTGAAATTAGAATGCAAGAATCTTAAATTAAGATTCAAATTATTTTAAATAATTTTTTAATTTAATTGTAATATATATTAGCATTTGTCTATTATGAATTATATTTTTAATTAAATTATTTGAACAATTAGACTACAACAATTTGTTTGTGATCAATCAAAGTATTCTTATATCTAAGTTTTAATAAAGTTGTGAGAAATAGATTTTGTTTAAAAAATTATTTCTATTAAGTTTGTCTATTAAATGAATACTTGTAAGTCCTAATAAGTTGTTTGTCAAAAATTCAATAATAAATTATTGAGTTTATTTTGAAGAATGAAAAAATTATGGAGTTTGAGACAAACCAAACATATTGATTTTGAATAAATTTTCTAAAAGAAAAATAATATTGAAATAGTTTTAGATTGTCCCCGCTATGAATAATTTCTGACTCTGACCTTGATGATTCATATATTTTAATTCAACCTAACTGAAGTGACTCATATATTATCCATATAAGTTTATTGTACTATTTTATAATTTATATCGTGTTAAATTCATGTCAACAAATAATATTAAATCTCATGAAACCTACTACGTCAGTATGTTTTTTTGGTTAAAAACAAATAGACCAGAAGTAATCAAAACAGCTAGTTTTGGGTATCTGAGAAGGTTGGAGCTGCTAGTTTTACCGGCCAATACAAGGGGCTATAATTAAAAACCTTATAGTTTAGGGACCATTTACTAATCTTAGAAAGGTTAATAACTTTTAAGTACGTTAATAAATGGGCACCCAGTAACGTGTTCCGAATCTGAAATCTGGTGTAGTTTCCTTTCAGCGAACTAAACCTAAAAACCCTTTTCTTAGCAGCCAAACCCACGAGTTAATATGGATGAAAAACATACCTAATAGCTAGTGATACTGTATAAAAAACAGAGGAATGCTCTAGGGATCTAATTTTTGAGACTAATTAGAGACTTTATTTAATATAGTCATTACATTAGTTGTGAATTCTAACGATTAATAGATATCACTTTTAATATAATGTCTGTATTGAATTAGGTCAAAATAATATTTTTAAAAAAAAATTAAAAATTGAATAAAGTGTACTCAATTTTTTAAGGCAATATTACACAGATTTAAAAATTTAACTCGATGATATGACTGTTATATTTATTATTAATTTAACTGTTAGTCATAATATTTATTGAGATTCACTATTTATTGAATAATAGTGATTTATTAAATTAAATTTTTAAGTCTATTTAATATTATTATTATTATTTTTTTATCTGGGTGGATGGCAAATGAATCAATGATTATTGAAATTTGTAAGATTTACCTACTATTGGAGAGTAACATTATGTCGCACTATTTGGGGTTCAATGTTAATTGAATTTTTTCTCCAGGCCCACCCCAAGTGCTGTAAAGATCAATAAGCCAAGTAGATTCTTCCAAGTGGCAAACTGCCAGCTGGCTGCCCCTGTTACGTCTCAATGCAACAGTGATATGATATTATTATTAATGATACGATATCACAATAGTAAAACTCAAAATGGGATAGATAAATTCTATTTGAACTTACGTGGTAGAAAAAAGAAGAATTATCTATATAATAAAGTAGTTTATAATTCAAATTTCAAAATATAAATAAAATAATTTTTATTATTCACGGTTGAAATCGTTTTAAATTTTACTTTAAAGTTAATCTAACGATTAATATTAATACTCTAAATTTAATAGGAAAAATAGGGTCCCTAAAGATGTGTTGAAGTGATTTTTTAAATGTACTTTTAAAAATTATTTTTCATAAATACTTAAAAAAAAAATAGTGTTTTAAACCGTTTTACCACTACGTTTACCATCACTACTGCCACCACTATTATCGTTGCCGCCACCACCACCACCCCCATCCCCACCCCCACTGCTGCCACCATCCCCACCCCCANTAGTTTTGGGTATCTGAGAAGGTTGGAGCTGCTAGTTTTACCGGCCAATACAAGGGGCTATAATTAAAAACCTTATAGTTTAGGGACCATTTACTAATCTTAGAAAGGTTAATAACTTTTAAGTACGTTAATAAATGGGCACCCAGTAACGTGTTCCGAATCTGAAATCTGGTGTAGTTTCCTTTCAGCGAACTAAACCTAAAAACCCTTTTCTTAGCAGCCAAACCCACGAGTTAATATGGATGAAAAACATACCTAATAGCTAGTGATACTGTATAAAAAACAGAGGAATGCTCTAGGGATCTAATTTTTGAGACTAATTAGAGACTTTATTTAATATAGTCATTACATTAGTTGTGAATTCTAACGATTAATAGATATCACTTTTAATATAATGTCTGTATTGAATTAGGTCAAAATAATATTTTTAAAAAAAAATTAAAAATTGAATAAAGTGTACTCAATTTTTTAAGGCAATATTACACAGATTTAAAAATTTAACTCGATGATATGACTGTTATATTTATTATTAATTTAACTGTTAGTCATAATATTTATTGAGATTCACTATTTATTGAATAATAGTGATTTATTAAATTAAATTTTTAAGTCTATTTAATATTATTATTATTATTTTTTTATCTGGGTGGATGGCAAATGAATCAATGATTATTGAAATTTGTAAGATTTACCTACTATTGGAGAGTAACATTATGTCGCACTATTTGGGGTTCAATGTTAATTGAATTTTTTCTCCAGGCCCACCCCAAGTGCTGTAAAGATCAATAAGCCAAGTAGATTCTTCCAAGTGGCAAACTGCCAGCTGGCTGCCCCTGTTACGTCTCAATGCAACAGTGATATGATATTATTATTAATGATACGATATCACAATAGTAAAACTCAAAATGGGATAGATAAATTCTATTTGAACTTACGTGGTAGAAAAAAGAAGAATTATCTATATAATAAAGTAGTTTATAATTCAAATTTCAAAATATAAATAAAATAATTTTTATTATTCACGGTTGAAATCGTTTTAAATTTTACTTTAAAGTTAATCTAACGATTAATATTAATACTCTAAATTTAATAGGAAAAATAGGGTCCCTAAAGATGTGTTGAAGTGATTTTTTAAATGTACTTTTAAAAATTATTTTTCATAAATACTTAAAAAAAAAATAGTGTTTTAAACCGTTTTACCACTACGTTTACCATCACTACTGCCACCACTATTATCGTTGCCGCCACCACCACCACCCCCATCCCCACCCCCACTGCTGCCACCATCCCCACCCCCACTGTTGCCGCCCACCACCACCGCCACCGTCACCACCACCATCGCCACTATAGCCACTGCCACCACCACTATTCCCACCCCCCACCGTCACCATCATCTCCACCTTTGTTATCGCCCCCACCATGGTCATTATCACCCACCACAACCATTATCATCTTCTTTTATCACCCTTGTCGTCCATCACCTCTCACCCCGCTACAAATCAATACTTTAAATTTTTTATCTCTTTTTTATATTTGTGATTTGATTTTGAATATGAATATGAATATGAATACGAATTTATTTATTGATTATCATTTTTTATTACTCTATACTTTTATACCTTCAAGTACAGACAACAACTAATTTATTTATATCACAAATTAATTATTAATTTTTATAAAATTTATCTATATATTTATTTTAATATTATTGATCTACCATGCAATATCAATTTTCACCGTTATAAAGAATATTTTCTCGTTACGTCGACGGCGGCAGGAGTGATGCCAAACGAGGACGACGCGTTGGAGATGTGCAAGTGGAAGTGTGGAGCCCTCTTCGGATATCGGGTGGTTTGGGCCAGTGTGTGGTCCGGAAATTCGGTCCCACCAGGACTTAGGGAAGCAGGTCATTCGTTTCGTCCGTTAGGGTCTGGTTGCAACTATAAAACAACCAAACCACCTCAATGTTTCTCACCTCCTCACTCTCTCTCTCTCACATACTCTTCTCTTAAGCTCTGTGAGACCCATTTGAGTTCTAGTGTTTGCTTTGAGTCCAATACCCTCAAACTGAAGCCTTTTTGTTCTGTTTTTCGAGGTTTCAGAACAGATTGCTCTGTTTCTCCTCTGTTTCTTGTTAACCCATATAACTTGTTTTAGCCACCAAAGACATCCAAGAATTTTAGAGATAATTAGGTATGGAATAATATGAGCTTAGTCTGCCGAAATGGGTTTGTTTTAGTTTTTTGTTTCGTCGTTTATATATGATGAATTGGAAATTATATTGACGTTATATGTGTGTTCTTAGAATGTGTTTCTTTTGGTTGGCTGGTTTTGTAGTGAAATTTCATTGAAGAAAGAAGAAAAATGACAAAGCAGAATGTGCGAGTTTCTGATGCGAAATCTGGAATCAACATGGCGATAACGATGGCTGTGTCAAAATCGTCGCTTTTCACGACGGCGGCACAGAAGCCGCCGGTGGTGCCGAGTGGGTACATGAATATCACCATTTCAAGGAGAAAGCTCCTGCAGCTCCAAGACCTTGATATCAATGGAGCCGCCAGAGTCAACGCTTGGGTTGACTTGATGGAAGCTTCCTCTCCCACCCATATCAAATCCACACCCTCTCTCTCCGTCTCTGAAGATCATAGCTCTTGGATGGTGAGTTGCTCTCTCCCTCTCTCTCTCTCTCTGTATTTTAAGTGTGTGTGGAGATATACATGTATGATTGTACATGAACTGTGACATACATGTATACGTGCATAAATACATTCATCCAGACTAGTATGTCACTGTTTATTTAGGATACATCAATCACCGTTTGTGTGTGTATATGCGTGATACTTGTTTTTTGGTTTGTTTTCTGGCGTTTATTGTGTTTGTATAATGACATATCAGCTGATAGCTTCGTTTTGGTAAGGACATTACAGCTGATGGCTATGTGGAATAATTTGATGAAACAGGATAACCACCCATCAGCCCTGGACATGTTCGAGCAGATAACAAATGCTTCCAAAGGGAAGCAAATTGTGATGTTCCTCGACTACGATGGCACACTTTCCCCGATCGTCGATGACCCTGATCGAGCTTTCATGGATAACAAGGTGTTCAATCTTATTCCACAACTATATGTTTTTCAAATAATGTAATTGAGACTTAAAAAATTGACTTAATATTTTGTATGTATTTTTGTTACTAAAAATTATTTCTTCTCTTTCTCAGATGAGAAAAACAGTGAGAAAACTTGCCGGATATTTTCCCACTGCTATAGTGAGTGGAAGGTGCAGAGACAAGGTATATATTTTTTTTTCTCTCATCTTCTATCTGAGCTAATTAATTACATATATATCACAAAAAGTTTGTTTTATAGCTTGGAATAATTGTTGTTTTTTTATTGTGTGATGATAGGTATACAACTTTGTAAGATTAGCAGAGTTGTACTATGCCGGAAGCCATGGCATGGACATAAAAGGACCATCAAAAGGTTCCAAATATGAGAAAGTGAGTCAGCTCTATTTTTGTTGTCACAATATCTTAATCTACTGCTTAGTATTTATTCTTTAATCTAATTTGTGCTCCACATGATTTTATGTATATATATATAATGATTCCTAATTGTTGTTTTCTGTTTCCATGTTAATAATTTTCAGTGTACCCAAGCTGTGCTCTTTCAACCAGCTAGTGAATTCCTTCCCATGATTGATGAAGTTAGTCTTCTCTTTTCATTAGACTGGTACACATTATTTTCTGTTTCCAAATCTAAAATATTGCTCTTCGAATTATCAACTTTCAGGTGTACCAAGCTCTAATAGAGACAACCAAATCAACTCCAGGTGCTAAGGTGGAGAACAACAAATTTTGCGTCTCTGTACATTTCCGTTGTGTTGATGAAAAGGTATAATACCCTCCCCCTCTCTCTCTCTCTCTCTCTCTCAAAGGACCAAGATGTTACTGCCAGAATTCTACAGCCAGCATTATATATGGGTCATTGTTTACTACAGGGACCAAGCATGGTGAAAAGTAATTAGTCTCTTTAATTTATTCTGCAAAAATAAACTAGTTTAAGAAAAGATCTGACATGACTTTACTATACTTTTATGAAATGACAGAAATGGAGTGAACTGGCACAACAAGTAACGTCCGTGCTCAAGGAGTACCCAAAGCTTCGGATGACGCAAGGGAGGAAGGTGTGTCGACGTCATATTTAATTTTTCATCACAATGATTTTGTCTTTTTATTTTGGAAGTTGTAGTATGTGGGCATTATAAGTTTCGAAAAATGTTAATATTTGAACTTAATTTTTGATTGTTTTGAAAATTAACACACAGGTGTTAGAGATTCGTCCTACCATTAAATGGGACAAAGGGAAGGCCCTCGAATTCTTGTTAGAATCACTTGGTGAGTTAAACTTAGTTTTAGTTTAGTATATCACCGTTTAAAAATATTTCGTTTCTCAAGTCACCATGACTTCTGTTTGGTTGTTGGAATAAGTAATCCGAACAGTAAAACTAGAAAAATATGAATGATGAAAGCAATATTATTCAATCACTGAAATTTGTACTTAATCTCCTTCTTTAGGGTATGCCAGTTGTACCGATGTATTTCCAGTTTATATTGGAGATGATCGAACGGATGAAGATGCATTCAAGGTACCCTATTTTCCAAACAACATTATAATTCTTTAGTTGCTTTTCCTGTGGGAAATTTCTTTCTCAGAAAAGTTGAAGTTCATGACTAATAAGTGCTGTATATTTTTTTACTCCAATCAGGTGCTGAGGGAGAGAGGACAAGGTTTCGGTATTCTAGTTTCCAAAATTCCAAAAGATACCAATGCCTCATATTCTTTACAGGAACCATCTCAGGCAAGAACCGTATATATACAAGCATATGCTATCCGTACCCACTGTTTATTTGTGTCTGTCAGACATGTTTTGAGTGTCGTTGTAGGAACTTCATTTTTCGAATGATATTTTTTCATTTATCGAAATAATTTTACTGATATGACTTTGTTTTTTCAATTGCTACTGCAGGTAATGGATTTTTTACAACGGTTGGTAGAGTGGAAGAGACAGACCTTTAAAATTACAACTGAAGATGCAAAGAAGACTTGAAGAGATATATGTACTCCTGCCAAACTAATTGAAACTTTTTTTTTTTTTTTGGGGGGGTGGGGGCTCATATATGTATTTTATTGTTCAAATATAATGAATGAAATAACACGACAGAAGGGGGAAAAGGAGCAGAGCCATTGAAAAAAGAGCCTTGTTTCTTTTCGGCTTTAACGCCTTCTAGCAGTACATCTTCTTCTAATTAGCCGTCCAAGACACAATTCGTAATTGTCCAAGTTGCATGAATTCATGTTAAGTGTTTTTTTTAATCCTTCATGAGTGAAGGATAATTATAACAATATCATATACAGAAGTAATTTTAGGTTTGGGACTTACCATACCCGATTGCACTTCGGAAAATTTTGACACGAGTGCTTCACGTGCTCTATATCCCATCATTAGATGATCACGACCAACCTAATTGCATGAACCAAAAACTAGTGATAGGTGAGGCTATAAAAGCCACACCTAGATTTTTACCGTTTTAAAGTTTTTCTTGTTTTCAATAGCAACAATGGAGAGATTTTTGTTAGGTTTGTCATGTCATAGAACCAGCCCCAACCTCTCCGTGTTTTCAATGTGAGAACTTTAACCTCCTCACATAGGGAGACAGCGTGAGGTCGGTTATATTTTGATAAGAGGGAACTCCTAAACCAAGTGCGAGTGTTTGTCTTTGAATTTATATAACTAATCAACTATCTTATCCGCTTGTACCCATCCATGAGCGCCAAGATTCAGATCCAAACCCAAATGTCAACATCTCTCACTCGCACATGGTGAGGACAACGTTGTTATACATCTCTCAACATTGCTCTACCATTCAAACTGCTCATATAGACTAAAGAACAATGCAACCGCTGAGTCCATCTACAATGGACAGAGACATCAACTAGTAGATCGTTGAGTCCATCTACAACGAGAGCCAGCATAGAGACATCAACTAGTAAACAAAACAAAGAGGTGTCTTGTATGACAAAGACCCATCTAGACACATCGATATAAGTATCTTGAATCCCTCAATAGCAAATATAAAAATGAGATGTACTAGATGTTCTTCCTTTCGCCTTGATGTTACTTGATTTTGTGCTAACTACTTTTCCAATAATGCTCCAAAAGACTAAATCGTACATGGTCATAAGTAATATGCCAAAATAGTAAACATTAATTCGTCACTTCGTAACATTGTCAAAAGTCATAAAGGCACATCACTTACAATGACCTCAAGGACTCACAGTGCGAAAGTAGAGAACCATTCACTCACTCCTACAATTAGTCGCCAAACACATGTAGTATGAAATACATGCTATGGTAGAGTTCTAAGTATGGGGGTTGAATTTACTATTGAAGCGACACTAGCAATCAAGAAAAACTACTGTCCCCAAAATAATCATTATGGTGAATAGGTCGGGCTTAACCCCAGGTAGGAGTTGGAAGGTCATCCTCCTGACCCACAGGTAATGGTTAGTTTAAGTCTAGGCCCTTTTGGGTCCCAGAACCTCAGAATCCACAAATAGCCACCCAAGAAGCCCATCCAAGCAATACCCCTTGGGCTCGAATTGGTCTACACCATGGAGTCAGAACGCGACCAAGGGAAGCTCAGGATAAATGGGCTCGACACACGATGACCTGGAGCAAGGTCGACATAGAAAGCTGCAAAAGGACATGAGTCCAAGAGATGAAGGAACATAGTCAGACGGCTTTGATGAACAATAACCGATAGGTAGTGAAGACGGATCAAGAACAACAATCTTTAGATAGAGGAATCAGAAATGTTTGGGGCCACAGTGCCAGGGTGGAAATGGGTATAGAGGAGACCACTAGATTAGCCAAGATGGACGAATGTGAAACCCTAACCATTGTTAGTATAAATAGCTGGAAATGCTAAAATGCATGCAGATGAAGATACCTCCAAGCTGCAAGAGAGAATCAAGTGATATCTTGTAACAGCTTCGAGCCTCGCTCTCTGTAGCAGTCACCATCTTTCTCAAATAATACGATTCTTGAAAGAACAAGAGTCTCTCTTACAGTGGATGTAACTTGTCATTTTGCTTAGGCAAACCACTTAAGTTCTGTCTTCTCTTCTTGTTCATTTATAGCTTACACCCTCACATATATCCACTTAAGCAATCACACACACATTTACCCACGCCCAATTATATTCTGTGAACGAAGTCCGTTAGTTTTGAGCACCATCAAACCTTAATTTGAAGTGACTTCAATTAAATGATCACTAATATACGCCACAATGTTTCGTCATGGCAATGGACATAACTTTTTGAAATAACACTTGGACAAGTTAAAATAACAGTGGGCTTTATGTTTGAGCACACTTTTCCTCATGTTTTGTACTCCAAAATTAATAATTTTTGTATGATCTTGATCGACCCAACAAAAAAAAAAAGTATGATCTTGATCACCTCCCATACGTTTTCTTTAATGCGATAACACTTTCACTACATTCAAAAGAGACCCAATTGTAAATAAGACGCAATATATTGGTAGGATGTAAATCCCACTTATATATTAGTAAAATAAGTACTATTAGCAAAAAAAAAATACTTAAACCGGGTGACCGCATTGTAATATTAAGATACTAGCAGTCCGCCTCATGCAATGCATGGGATATATAGCCCTTCATCTCTTTTTTTAACATTCATTCCTCATAACTTCTCTCTTTTATTTCTATCATTTAGAAATTAGATAAATAATTATCTAAAATTGTAGGGGGATAATTGTAATTATTTTTGAATAGATTCAAATTAAAGGTGGTTAGTTAGGGCGAGTACCAATGGATCTTTGGTTCAATTATACTCCTTATGTTATGAAAGTTTTGCCTTCTTGGGATTAAGGGTTCAAACTCACTTTCCCCTATCCTCCCCCTCGCCCTCTCAAAAAAAAAAGAAGAAGTTTGGGCGAGTAAATGGGTAGTTAAAATGAGTACTTCGTAAATTGTGATTGGAGAATTTTCAATTAATAATTCAAAAATTTTAAAACAAAACAAAAAAGTAAAAGGAAAGACTTCTTAAAATCTCTCCCTAAAAATTGTTTTTTGTATCAATAAAGAAAATTCATTTTTTTGTGACGATTTGCAAAAAAGTAAAAAAAAAAATCGCAAATTATTTTTTATGATGATTTTATTTAGTTGCAGTTTTGTCGTACCATATTTTCTGCGATGCAAAGAAGGGTAAATGGGAACACTATTAGGGTTGGAAACCTAACAAGCTAAACCTCCAAACAAAGGCAAAAAACCCCCCTTTAACGAGAGTAAGGCTAAAAAATTAAAAGTCTAACTACAATGCAAAAACTAAGCATGCAACAACAGTACACATAAGCGAGAAGAAAGCCCCAAAAGGAAATTCTATTTAAAAAAAAAAAAAGAAATATCATATTTACGTGGATTTTTTTTTTTATAATAAAAAGAGAGAAAAAGAAAGCAAAGGGATCTTAGGTATTAGTTTTTGTCACCCTTAGTGGTGGCGGCCAAGACTGGGATATACATGACAAGCCATCTGGAGTTGCCAATTAGGTCCGTTATCTGGAAGAAATTTTCTCATTACCTGCATCATCCTCACGTTCGGCCCCTCCCGACTTGGTGTTAGTTATTATTACCCATGATGATGTTATTAACGCGACTGGACAGACGTATGAATTTAAGGTGCACAGAACAGTTCAGCCTGATCTCCAAGGCTATAAAGGATAGGATTTTTTTAGGATTAATGGATGATTACGCACATTGTTTATAGTAGTTCATTAGCTCGAGAGCTCGGCTAATCTACTCTTAAGGGAATCTTTTGCTCTTGAATATATTAATAACTATGTGTGGTTTACAAAGAATATTTTGTAAGGCTACAATGGCTATGTCTTCTCTAGAGGGATTTGCCTCTTATTTATAGTTTTTCTTGGGCTTTTCTTGATCTGGGGCGAGATCCTCGCCCTTTCCTTGTAACGGTTTCCCCTTATTGTGCAACGAGACTTACGCCTGTTGGGTGATTGATGCCAAAAAGATGGGGGATTTGGTGAGATCCAATTATCCTTTGAACAAACTTCCTTGAGATATGGACACAGGAAGTTGAGGTCTAAGGTCGAGGTTCACAAGTAATACTGATGAGCTGAACTCAGCATGACCTAGGGAACCGAGCTCATCCTTAGATTTTTTGTGGTACCATCAGTTGCCCTCTAGTCCTTGGTGAAACAAATAGATTTGGGCAAGGATTATGCCAAGAGTAAGGTTGCTTGGGTAGACCTTGATTTTCGCATGATGGGACTTCATTCTGACAGTTGTGATGGTCGTGTAATAATGCTTCCCTCGTTTCTTGTGCACGTCCCTTATTTCGAGGGTCCATGTTCTTTTATCTTTAAATGCGGTTGAAGATAAAAATCGCCTTTCATTTCTTCAAACCCTCTTCACATTCTGTCTCTTGACTCTACTTTTCCCTTTGCGACTTCGTCTTCCTAATTTCATCGAGGATCTAGAGTTTTCATAAAAAATCCCCAATTTCTTTGAAGGTTTTGCATGGCTGACCTAATTTGTTTAGAATTTCTCTTAGTTCCTGGTTTATCGATTGTTCTTAGCTAGTTACATCCCTTGCTCTGTTCCTTCTTGTTTTTCTTTCATTCTGGATCCCTCGAATTCAAGGTGGTTATTTAATTTCTTGACTTTCCGCTTTTGTTACTTTATGAATCGAAGTCTTACCTTGTCCTCTCTTCCTCTCTTCTCAGATCCTTACTTTACTGCCATATTTTTTCTCTTTGGTCACTGGTGTCTTGACCCTTGGGCCCTTAAGGATTGCTTTACTCGTGTTCCCCCTCTTTATAGTTCTTTCATACTTCATTTCTCTTGCCAAATTATGTCTGCCTCTTCTGAAGCTACAGCCTTGTCTGTTTTCCTTATGTGTAATAGGTCCCCAGATGTAGTGGAGGATGACCTAGGGGATGTTGGTGATGAAATAGACAACTTCCCTGGGGTTGATGTAGTAGAAAGAACGGAGGTGCCTCTTGATTTTACCAGGGTGTCCTTTGAGTTCGAAGCAATCTTGAAAAGGAAAGGCCAAAAATGGTAGAGTTGGACCTTCAGGTAGTGCTGAGGGCTCTAGATCCGCTCCTTGCGCTTCAGACCTCATTGGGCACAGTGAGGTTACGCCTCATCTTATGAGTGTTTTGTCTGAAAGGTTTGGTTTT